ACCAATTTGCAAGAATCCACTGAATTCTGGGATCGAATCGCTTTAACAAGCCTTATTGTTTGGGTCAAGGACCGTTTACGGAATTTACGGATCAGATTGCATTAACACTCCTTATTATTTCGATCCCCTGCCGGATGTACATCATTTTTCAAATAACTCCGGAAAGTGCAGTTTGCTGTTTATCTGCCAAGGCAGTCCTGATTTAATCCTCTGTCCTCACTCGCATAGGCACCGCAAGTAAACACATTTAATTAAAGCACCGTTGTGTCAGCAAACATTCTCGTTAATAATAAAAAGCACTGTGATAATGCCTCGTCTAATCCGCAGTTAATCCGTGCTTGCTGGGATCACTATAAATACCTCTAAAACCTCACCCACACATCATCCCAGTGTTAGCATGGCGCCTTTGATCACTGCTTTCATTTTGGCCACAGTCTGTGCTCTTGCAATTGTTCCCGCAACAATGCAGTCCACCTCTACAAGCTCGACACCTGTCGCAAGCATCATGGGTTTGTTCTATTTTTGCCAGTTCTTCCGCTTACCAGTAAAAAATTAGCCAAATCAGCTCTAAAAGTGAAATAAATTAGTCTCCCAGTTCAGCATTCCGAAATTGTTCAACCACTAAAGTACTGAGCAATGAAAATACGTGTCTATTCATCCGTAGTCCAAAGACAGCAATGTTAACGTGCCAATAAAGCATATGCACTGACAAGGCTTTTTTGGGCTCAATTTTAGTTCCATAAGTTAGAACCTTTCCACGGTTTTTCCAGTATCTTTTTCCCTCAGTTTGTTTGAACCGGTGCAGGCGACTGCTGACTTTGTCATTTTCCTTCCTACTCCTTTCACTCCCTTTCATACTGGCCCATTTTTTCGTATCACTTCCTCAATAGTGGTGACCTTATGCCGTCCTTTCCACACCGATCCTGCTAATTTTCGATGCGAATTTGATGAAATTTTAGGTACCAGTGGTACACCAAAGTCTGTACGAAAACGTGAGGCATGGGTTGATCAGGAGATGCGGCTCGATCGCA